TTCTAATCTATACTCTAGCTTTTGCCTAGGGTGGTCCATGAATTTGCATCATATAAAGGTTGGTTCTTTCTTGTCCCAAGGTTTCAACACAAGTGAAGATGATGACCCAAGCTCTCAAGGATGAAGGGAGGCCCTTCTCAAGTACAAGACAACAAGCTAAACCCTTCAAGATGTTATTTTTCTTCTCTAACATCCCTTACGACTAGTGTTTACGAGTGTTACTACCAATCTCATTATCATATCTTAACCATTGATTTTTGTCAATCAACGGTTATTATTTCTACAAATCAAACTCATTAATTAATTATTAATTCATATGAAATCAATGGTGAAGAAAGGTGATGTCTTTGGTTTGTTTCTTGAAGAAATGATGAAACCCTAGAGGAGAGGAGCATTTTCTTCCACGAGAGAAAATGGAGAGGGTGGTCTACGTAGGTGAACAAAAGAAATAAGAGGGAGTGACTAGGTTTAGGTTATTTAGAATAGACTGACTTAACTCAACTAGTATAGACTCACATGCTACACTCGCTTAACTCACTATTAATTTTGGACCACAATGTCATATACAATTTATCACGCATAAATCTATAATTTATTTTCAGTTCTGAGTATTTTTCTATACCCATTGTTTCTATCGCGATACCCGTAGTATCAATATTTTTCACCGAAAATGACTAAATTCCAATAATTAATATCTCCTTCTAATATTACCATAAAAATTTTGTAGTTATCTTAACTCCCCAAAATTCATGGAATAATAATTGCTAGTTATATATAAGTTTCGGGTAATTCTACCTACTGTATTTTTACCGCAAAACACACAACATTTACCTTTTTCTCAAAAAGGTTCCTTAACTTAAATTAATTAAAATAATTAAATCTTCTATTTAATAATTCTCATTTAACTATTATTTAATTTCTAAAATTATAACTTAACGGTGCAGGTTCTTACAGACTTTAGGTATTCGATTACTTCTTCAAAGAACCTAGGTAATCCATTACTTCACTTAGGTAATCCATTACTTCATATCAGAAACCAATTTCCTTGCTGATTTTTCGATTTAAATGGTTCTAAGTGACTTCTAACATATGTATGATCATGTCCCACATTTGTATAACAACTTTTCATGAGTGTGTGATCTTGTATGCATGATCAAAGTGTGTATGTCACTAATGCATGCGTATATGACCTATTAATGCAATTCTCAATATAAAGCTCAATAAACTCAAATTTCTAAGTTTTTAAGACTCTAAAAATATATTAGAAACAGTAAAGACTTGAGTTTTCATTTGTTTTCACTTGACTAATACTTTGTGCCTTCTAGTTGCTTCTTGACTTCAAAAACTTTGACTCCAATGTTGACTTTCGACATTTGAGTATTTCTTTCATATTTGCACTTTGCTTTAGTCTTCTAGTACCATTTAAAACTTTTTGCCATGCTTTCCATTAAGTGCATCCATTTTGAGCTATGTTGGTGCTTTGTAATCATCAAAACTTCAATGTCATAGTTTTCATGATCTATGCTTCAACAAAATTGTCAATTAGGTGGTGTGATGGAACCAATGAGGGATTACATATCCCATTTGATGGCAAAACAGGACAATTTTTCTCACTGCCCAGGAAGTAATCGATTACTTCCTAGAAGTAATCAAATACTTCCCTGGTAGTAGCTCAACCCAAGCCACTATCTTAAAAGTAATTGATTACTTTCATAAAAGTAATCGATGACAATAGGGTAATATGTTACTTTTCGTGCTATAATCTATTACTCCTGCCTTGGAAGGCCTAAATCCACTTCTAATGAGTTGTAGTGCCTAGTTTAATGTTATGGGACCTTAGGGAGGTTAGTTTAACTACTCATAATGGAATGTTCCAAAGTGATTAATCATTCCTTTGGCAATGATAAAACTTAAAGTTTTGTAAATGTGAAATGTGTTATTGAGAATAGTAATTATTTTAAATAAGAATGAAATTAAATGAGTGTATGGCAATACATAAGGAAGGAAAAAGTTAGTTCACATGTTTACATAGGTGTAATTATGACACTTTATATGCGTAGTTTCTGCTTTGTTAATTAATTATGTTGTGCTTAATACCATAATCAATGATAATACACTGGTTGCAAACAAGGTGTTAAAAAGGGAATCAGGGTCTTGTGGATAGAGTATGAGAATATGAGGAAGTAGTTGAATTTTAATTCACTTATAGAAGCTTAAGGTAAAAAGACATAAATGTCCTCCTTATTAAAACAAAGGCATTCGCAAGAGCCAGGGTACCCTAGTCAAGCACTCTTAACTATGGAGTTCTTCCGTTTCAGGCTACCGAAAAATATATGCATCTTGTTAGTCTAGGTAGTACCAATTAATTCTTATAAGTTATCCCCAACTGTAGAGTTCTATACTTATACAGTCTTTGAAATCCCTACTTTCAAGTGTGTATTCGATTCATTCATGTACCCCTCCGTTGGAAGCCTGCCAGGAGTCGCTCCTTGTCCATGCCTCTTTGCACCGACGATCACTCTCCGCCCTTATCAGCCACCGCGATGTTACATGCCCACCAGCTTCTGCCTGGTTCGTTCTCGAACCACACCGTACTGGGAGAGAGACTCTACTCTGTTACCACTTGTAACGCTCAACCGCTTTAAGGATCACTGACTGTCCCCACAAACTAACATGAGACTTTTTAGCGTGCTTTGTCCTCACTCACACACTTCCTGAGAAAACTTCGTAGGAGGTCACCCCTTGCAAAATTGCTCCAAGTTAAGCACACTTAACTATGGAGTTCTTCTGTTCTAGGCTACCGAAAAGTAGATGCATCTTATTAGTTTAGATAGTACCAATTAATTCTTATAAGCTATCCCCAACTATAGAATCATATACTTGTACAGTCTTTGGAATCACTCTCTTTCGGTGTGTATTCGATTCATGTACCCTTTCGCTGGAAGCCTGCTAGGAGCCGCTCCTTGTCCGTGCCTCTCTGCACAAACGATCACTCCCCGCTTTCGGCAACCACCAGGATGTTACATAATACATTTTTAGAACTTAGATATGATTGTAAGGGTATATGATAGATTGCATTGAATGAGCTCAAAGTTTTTCTCAAAGTAAACATGTTTTTCAAATTTCATAATCCACAACCTTTAAATACTTGAAAGAATTTGAAAACCCTATGGAAAAGATCCTTGACATGTTTTATAACTACAAAAAATATTTATCAAGTAAAGATTTCCATAAAGCTATCTTCGGGCAAATTTTTTGTATCAAGGACGATGTATTTGGATATTTTCTTCTTCATAGAAGTTGTAGATCTCTCTCTTATCTTTCCAACGAGACCAAGATCACATTAATCCGACAAGAATAGCTCAAGACATGCCCAAAATATGAAATAATATTCTTGCTGTGAAGGAAGGATTTGAATCCTTCACAAAAGGATTTGAATACCTTACGAAAAAGATTCGAATTCTTCCTATCCGGAATGCATATATCGACTATAAATGATCAATAGAAACAATATGCATTCCCGGAATTCTTACCATCCGGAATGCATATTCATCTATAGATGCTAAATTTGAATCATACCCAGTAAATATCACACATCTAATAGTACAAGTAATTTTCGCAGGTGCACTTTTGACTAAAATGTGCACCATACAGCAACCATACTTGTGCATAAATGTTTGTCTTTATATGCTCATGGCCACCTTAAGAAAAAATGTGCCAGCAATAATTTTGACCAATTACTAACAAATCCAACAAACGATCCTAGCTTTACTACATTCCCTCTTTTTTCAATTATTGTGATCAGCATCAGATTCCAAAATAATGAAGATAGATGCTCATATGGACGGACATAAATCCTTGTTATTCAGTTTCAATTTTTTTCTTAAAAAAAGAACCTTTTAGATTTGATGTTAAAAAGATAGATATAGCTTCAAAAGTTAAATAACCAGTAAAAAAAATTGTTTCATTTGAGCTGATGCTACTGGGTTGTCAAGCATCCATTTGTTCTAAATAAAATGTTGTGAACTGTGTAAAAAAAATGTAAATAAATAATAATAATAATTCTCAAATAGAAGAGGAATATCCTATCAAGCAAAGGAGGGATTTTATAAATTTTGTACGTAGATTAAATACTCTTTTTGGTCCTCAGCAAATTTTACGATGTCCGTTTTAGTCTAAGCAAATAAAAAGGTCCATCGTGGTTCCTGAAAAATTCAAAATGGATCCATTTTAGTTCTTTTAGGGACTAATATGGATCTTTTTTAAATTTGTGTGGGACCACAATTTCAACTAAATGGGTCCATTTTGAATTTCTTAGAAACTACGATGATTTTTTTAGAGTAAACACCCTTTTTGGTCCCTGGCAATATCTACGAAATCCATTTTAGTCCCTGACAATAAAAAAAGACCAAATTGGTCCCTAAAATTACGGAAAAAGGGTCATGTTAGTCCTTATGTCAACTCCTCCGTCACTAACGTGTCCCTTTTTACATACTGTTAGGGATCAATTTGGTCCTTTTTTATTGCCAGAGACTAAAAAAGATTTCGCAGATATTGTCAGGAACCAAAAAAAGTGTTTACTCATTTTTTATTTGTTAAGAACTAAAACAGGTATCGTAAAATTTATTCAGAACCAAAAAAGATATTTACTCTTAATACTATTTATTAGTTTTAATACTATTTATTAGTTAATTAGGCAAAGTTAATAATATTAATAGAAAAAGGTTACAAAAGATTTGAACAGTCGGTGTGGATAAATCATACATCACTCGAATGCTTAAGATCTAAGAAAAAGACCAATGGGGACGTTATCCAGTGCGTCCGACCCTAAATTTATGTCAACAAAATCATGGTTGACCATCCAGAACAAAGCTACAGAGAACATGTCATTGGTGACACGTTGTCATGTTAACGGAAATGAAAATAACAATCCCGCAGAGGATACTCTCTATTATTATTTTATTACGCAATGTTCATGGTAAGTTAACTACATAAAGGGAGAAGCACATCAAACCCTTCATTGCTCACATAAGAGAGAGAGAAAGACAAAGAAAGAGAAGGATAATGGCAGCACTTGGTGGCGCTCGCGATGTGGCAGGAAGCCAGAACAGCCTTGAGATCGATAATCTTGCTCGCTTTGCTGTTGAAGAACACAACAAAAAAGCGGTTTCTTTCGTACTTTCTTTTTCTCAAAAAACATTTTTTTTTAAAATAATAATATTTCATTCTGCATTTGTTTGTTACACGAAATGTTCATGTGCTTTATGTTAATTCGTATTGGGTCTGGCCGATGATCGGTTTTGGTTATGATTTGGCCGTGTTAAGGTTTGTTCGGAAATACTCATGTTTATGTTGAATTTGATTCTGTGTCTCTTCATTTTGTTATTTTCGTTTGGCTGAATTGACTATCAATTTTTGGAATTTACTTCTGGGGATAATGGTTAAGTTAGTTTTGTAGTCCTAATAACACATGGTTTTCTATTTTCTATTTCTTTTTATAATTTTGTGGTAAGGGGATTTCAATTTTAATTTTAATTTTATTGAATTCGTGATGGTTATGCAGAATGCGCTTCTGGAGTTTGGAAGGGTGATAAGTGCAAAACAGCAAGTGGTTGCTGGTACCTTGTACCATATCACTTTAGAGGCAAAAGATGGTGCCAATAAAAAGGTTTATGAAACCAAGGTTTGGGAGAAGGCATGGATGAACTTCAAAGAGGTGCAGGAGTTCAAGCTTGTTGGAGATGCATCTTCGGAATCTAGTGCTTAGCTAGGTATTTGATTACACTACACAATTGCATCTATCTGATTTTTAAATATGATGTGTTTATGATGAATGCAATATTCAATATTACTAACTTGTTTTTTTTTTTTGCCTTTATTGATACGACTCTTAAACTGTGTTTAGAATGAATGGGAGAAGAAGTGGGGAGGGGGAGGGGGAGGGGGAGGGGTTGAAGATTAAGAACTTGAAGTCTGTAATCAATTTCTGGTTTAATTATGGGCTTTATTTGTCAGTTATATTGCTTCTGATATAAAACGTTGTGGGCTTCATTAATTACAGGGATTTATTTGTTGTTGCTTTGTAAAAATATGAACAAACTTTTAACTCACCGGTGTGTAATTGCTATGTGGTGCATAGGCTGCTATGTATAACAGGACAATAAGTTGTTGCTTATCATTGCTATAAGATTGTGTGAAATTAGACATTTGTCATATTTACTGATGAATCGGCTTTGAGGGTAATGGCAGTGATATATTTTGGCCATGAAGATTGACTTAAGTTAAACATTTATGCAATTAAATTTATTCTTTTGTGATTCATTCTTTGATCAGATTCACTGGTTTTGTCAAAACCATTGGGCTCGAAGGGTGGACGACGTACAACCCCTCCTACCTATGCTAAAAAGCTTCACAATATTTAATTATTTATTAATAGAATAGGGGGCGGTGAGGAGAGAGCTTGTGATTGTTTAGTCACACTCTGATATCATGTAAAGAACTAATTCAATCTAAAAGTTTAAACGGTTAAGTGAAGGCCAATTAATGGTTTTGTATTTCTCTAACAATAAAAAATTTCATATTTGCATGAATTTTATAGCAATTGGAAGTGAAAAACATTTTAGCACATTGGGAAGAATGACCTTTTCATTTACTTTACCTCTACTCCCTTAAGAATTGAGGTGGTGTATTTGATCACTAATTTAGGACTTATCTATTGCAATTTTTATGAAGCAGAGTCACCATTTTAAAGTGAGGGAGTTTCAGTGTTTTCCTTTGCTCAAATGCTCTTGAACAGGTTTTACGTTTCTTTGCTTATTCTGTATCAGGATCTCTGTATCCTGCATTCCTGCTATTAGCAATAGAGCTTTACTGCTTATAAGGAGTACTGTTGGTATAATATGCATCATTTTATGTTTCAAGAATTGTGGGCTATTGTCCTTGCCATTTCCCATCATTTGAACTCAGGTTGAACCCAATACCCAATTAAGGGATGGCTAGCTTGACCACTAGCAGGGTATTCTTTATGGAACCATCATGACTTCACTACAGACTAATGTGGTTTTCATTTAGATGGAAAATGGTGATGATACGCAGCTGATGTGATATGTTGATATTTGGTTATTTTTGCCTAATTCAAGTATCTGGATACTATACCAAGATATACAGATATTGATGAAGAAATATCCGGATATTTGTCGGGTTTTCTCAAAACCCACCCAAGTATTAAGCTTTCCCATCGATGTGTAGAGAATTTCTCTAGAGACCAAAATGTCTTAAAATTTAGAAGTTTAAGGGGCTGGTCACTTGAGAATCTCTCTATACGTGAATTCTTTTCATGATGACTTTTGTATGTGTTACCTACATTACTTGCTTGCATCTTCTTCTGTACAATCAGGAATAAGATGATTACTACTAGAGCAATTTATTGATACCTTCTCGAAAGGAATCACCTAGGCTAAGGCTAGAAATAGCCACTCTTGTGTGGGTTTAACAGGGATGAAATACCCCTCCTATAAAGTAAATTTAGTCTTGATTAATAATGATTATCGTATGTTTCTTGGACTGCACAACCTGTCCATGGAGGAGGATTAAATAGATAAATAGAAAATTGATTTATGCCAAATTCATTTCTGTGTATCAAAATGTCTTCTGCCAATAATGGAATTATACGGATGGCTGCCAAATTCTTCGGTTTATTTATTAATCTTATATCTTAATTTCATTCCATTCTGTATATCTTCTTGCTGGTCCAACTGTACATATTTTTTTTTTTTTGTAGTGCTGTAACGATATTTTGAAGCGTAACCCACCGGATGCGCGTGTTAAAAATGGGTTGCATATCAACGTAAATGAATAACTAAAAGACCACTATTTCCTTTCATTTCTGCAGCCTTTTCATTTACTGTTCCAATAAATATCTTATATGGGTTAACATATGGCTTATTTCCCTAGTTCTTTTGGGATTATAAAAGAAGTCTTCCTTGATTTCCCAGGTTACTGAAGAATGAAGATTATGTGCCTAGCGGCTCAAGGTGAAAGCTAAGGATATATAAAAGCATGCTATGTATGTAATAAACGTTGCTATTTACCTCTGAGTTCGGGATTTAATATTTGAAGTCATAAGAATACACTCGTTGAATGCATTTGGCATCCCCTTTTAAGTATTAACTAAAGGGAATATATGGTCCTTTTGTGTAAATATTATCTATTGATGTTGTCAATTTCAAGGTGAAATATGAGATCTTTTATTGCTATGGGTTACTAAGTTTATGTAAAAGGAATTTATGGCAGATCGATTATTTTAATATTATTTTTCAATAAAAATTATTGAAATAATGCAATTTTGAAATATATTATTAAAATAATGCAATGAGTATCATATGATAGAGATGCTGAACCGGCTGTGCATGCATGGAGGTGATGCGGAAACTCAGAATTGTGTCATGTGTTTAATGGGGCAAATTTAAAAGTTATACTTTAAAATACAAATCCAGATTTGCAATGTTGGACAAATGACTTCAATACTCAAGAGGAGAGTGAATTGAGTTTTACAAAAAAATTTCGCAAAGTGCCTCTTTTGATAATTTAAAGGCTATTTCTTCAATAAAGTGATTTAATAAGGAAGAATATAAGTGTGAGAGCAAGTGTACTGATCAACAAAGTAAACAAACGAATATATAAAGACAATCTAAAATGCAATTTTCATACTTAAATAAAGAGGTTAAGGTTAGAGAAATTGCAAACTAGATGTATCCTGGTTCAGTCCACCACCACCGTGACCTACGTCCAGATTGAAGCCGCTCGATCAATATTTTTTCACTAACTATCAAGCTTGAGGGTGCTTGACAAACCACTACAACTTTTTAAGACTTCGGGTTCTTGATGCCTTACAATTTTTCACTCCAAATTTTCTTGGAAATTTGGTGACCTCTCTAGTGTATAAGGTTCACTCTCCTAACTATTCAAGAAATCAAAGAAGGTGTTTAACAATGGCTAAGTACTCTCAAAGTACAAATAACACAAGTTGAAGAACAATGGTGGTTGACACTCTCACAAGAATAAAGCTCAAAGAGAATTTATGATCAAGAAGACAAGAATAATGAAAATAGAATGAGAATTATTGAGTAATAATGATCAAGAAGTGTGTCCCATCAAGGAGAACAATATTCTCTATTTATAGAGGGCCCCATGGCCTTTTTCACACTCATTTTCACAAACTAGCCGTTTTATAGCCATTATTTTGTCTTCTGCACAGTAGGTAATCGATTACCATTGTGTGGGTAATCGATTACCAACCTGTTGAAAGGTTGTATTTTACCCAAAAAATAGTTTTCTCTTGATTCAAATCAGTTTCAAATATTGTTTAAACATTTTATGAATATTGAAAACTATATTTTCATGCTGGGAATGTATTTGAATGTCAAACGATGATTTAATGCATGTATTTGAAAAATACTTTAAGCTTCGTTCACGTAAGGAATCGATTATCCTTTCAAATGATCCTAAGTCCTATACTATGTTACTTGAAGAATACTTGGACTTATAGACTTATCTTGAAGCTTGAGTCCTGATCTTGTTTAGATTTCTTTTTGATGGTTGAACCTTGAAGGTTTCTTTCCATGCTTGTTTGTTATAATCAAAATCGTTGAACCTTTATATTCTTTTCGTAAAGTGCATTGGTTCCACAATCTCTCCCTTTTTGATGATGACAAACTCAAATTGAGAAAAGGATTAGTATAGCATGTATTTAGACAAATGTAATATTGAAACTCCCCCTTAATATATGATTGATATAAAAGGTGAAAAAATTAGATTTCATGTAATCTCCCTTTTATATTTGAATTCCATTCTCCCCCTCTTTACCTTAATATATGCCTATGATTTTCTCAATTTACGTATCTTTCTCCCCCTTTGGCAACATCAAAAAGCATGAGTGTATGATACAATAGTAACAGAAGAAGAGCAATTAGAAGAGGAGGAGCAAATAAAAGAACAAAGCATTGCACAAAGGAAAGGGACACATGTGAAGAAAATACCAATAAGGTTTAGAGATGACATGTAGACATTAGGTAGTTACACATTGTTGTATTGAAAGTGACGTGTAAAGAAAGGTAGAGTTAGTGGAAAGGTGGTTAGAAGTAGTGGGAGTATAAGAATACAGATCACGATATACATTGTATCTTTTGATGAAATTCAATAAACCTAAGCATTCTTTTCTCATCTTCATTCTCTGATTTCTTTCTTCTCTTCCCCAATTCTGTTGATTTTCCCTAATAGTAGAGACACTCTCTACCAGTGTATATATAGAAACCTTAAAACAATCCATGCAAGAAACTAGAAGGAAAGCATAAGAATCCATAAAAGTTCATAATAGTCCATAATCTAATCAACCATAGTCCATAAAGTTAGAGTCCTGGAGATGCAAAATATCCAAAGTAACATAGCAAAATATAAGCATGTTATAAGTCCTAAAGCAGAAAAAATAAAGATCAGGGACTAAAAGTCATCAGAGCCAGGTTGAGGCGGTGGTGGTAGAGATGGAAGAGGAGGAATGTGAAGATAATCCTCAATGCGCTTCAGACGTAACTCCATATTAGCAAGCATGGAGTGAACTGTAGAGAATTGATAGTTCACAGAAGCAAAGCCCGATTCCACATTGGTGTTTAATCGATTAAGGGAAGTGAGAATGGAAGCAAAAGTGTGATCTGCTGAGGAAGAAGAGTCAACATGAGGATCAACAGCCGGAGGATCATGTGGAGGATGGTCCTCAGCAATATCAGCAGGGATTATAAGAGCACCAAAGCATTGTTGGTCCTTGAGTACCACCCATGATTATTAGGTACCAAATTGAGGTTAGATAACACACTTTCAAATGTGGAATTTATTGAAAAAACAAAGGAAATTCTGGCGAAATTTCTAGAAATTGGCAAAATTTGGGTAAACTTTGGGAGAGCATATCTCCCTCCATAAAAGTCCAATAGGTACGTGCCATACGCCATTTTAAAGCTTGAGATGTCAACTACCTTGTGTAAACATTTGAGAACCATAGGATGTGTTCTCTGTCCTGTAGAAGCCAGAGAGCATGGACTTCTCTGGATGCCCCTGTGCAGGGGCTGTTTCTGGCAATTTTTGGGAAATTTATTACCGCTTCTTTTCTTGGTCAAATTAAATGTATGATATGTTAAATTGATGCTAGAGGTGTCTAGTTTACTATATAAAAATTTGAGAGCAATTTAATGAGTGAATTTTCCAGAATCGTTGAGGGAGTGAGGGCTGTTGGGAGCCCTGTTTGGGGTTGGCTGGCAGATTTTCTTGTCCAACTTCAAATGGCGATAACCAGAGCAAACGAGAACTTTATAACTCGTGTGATAGCTTGTTAGAATGATAGTTAAGTCTAGAATAACATACTAAAAGATGAGTAGCATGCATAATGCGGTTTATCCGCAGTAATTACATTATCGAACCATGTTCAGATAGGTAGAAAACATAAAAGTAAGATTTTAGCTAAGTGGGTTTATGGGAACCCCTTAGTGACTTGAGAGGAGTATTATATGATATTTAGACAGTTTAAATAATTATTTCGCAAAGATTTAACAGTTACGGTCACAACTTTTATTTATTACGCTTTATTATTGTTTTAAATGTTCGCGTAATAAAAAGGAAAAAATTTACTCGCATTTTTATAAATGAATTGCTGTGATTGTAACTGCGCTTAATATCATAATCAATGTTAGCAATACTGGTGTACAACAGGCTGTTACATTTTATGGTATCAGAGCAGTTTACTAGGGAACTCTGATTTTTGTATGATTGTATTATGTGTTGTATAGTTGTATGCAGACTCTTATTGATTATTGCATATGTGATTCCTTAGTGTGGGTCTGATCAGCCCATTCCTTTGTGTTATATGTGTAGTCATCATAAGAAGCCTGCGTGGCAACCCTGGAGTGTGAGGAGGGAAATGAAGTAAACTAGAGCAGAAATGGAAAGCAGGAAAGTAGACGAACTACTACATGAATTAAATGACTAAAATTAGAATGCAGAAATTAAAGACATAAGATAAATTTAAAGTGAACGCTGGGGTAATTCCACTAGCGTGAGCGGATGAGAAGAGAAGAATTAATTTTACATAAGCAGATACAGACAGAAACATATGTTATTCAAACATAAGGAAACATAACGATTACAGTTACAGATTGAAAGAGAAAACAGAGAAGAAGAGAAAACTCAGAAGTACCTCGCAATCTCTCTCTCTAGATTATCTCTCTAAAACTCAGCAAATGAAAGGATGCATTCAACAGATTGAAGCAATCCTTTAAATAGATCGAAAAAACACTATTGCTACAGTACAAGTTACATGACCGGTACTATTTCAACAGAGCAGGTTTAGTGAACAGTAACTGACACGTGTTGCTACAATAAACTGCTATAGATTTTTTGCTATAGTGCCTGCCGACACTTCTGATTGCGTCACTGCTTGCGTCACTTCTGCTGACATCATGCTCATGTCACTCTGTCATCAGCTCTGCTACAGTGATTATCTTCAACAATCTTCTGCCAAATCTATGCCAAAACAATCATCTTCATTTTGGTAGAACTCATCTGCTGAAGAGGAGATGGATGGAGAGGGAGAACCTGTTTTCTGTTTAGAACTTCCAGTTTCTTCCTCTTGAAGGAGTTGGAGAATGCTCTGCAAATTTTTTGCAAAGCTTTCTTTGCTCGTTGAAGCAACTAGGGCTGCCGTAATTTTGGCCTTCTGATACAAGAAAGTATAATTTTCTGGATCAGCTGGTTTGATATGTTTTGGATGTTGTTTGAACCAAAGCTTGACATTTTCTGGGCAAGCTCTAGATGCATCAAATTCTGTCCACCACTTAACAAAAGCTTGTCTTTTAAGTATTAGGAGTTTGGTGCCAGATTTATCTCCATAATGATACTGCCATGAAAATATCCATGCCAGAGAAAATTTAGAGAAAAAATGTAGGTCAATTGGGAACGGATATGTTATTTTGTCAAATTTTTTCGAAAAGATTGTTAATCCTTCGAACACCATGGGTGGAAGGATATCCAAGATTGGTCCAAAATAATCCCACCATTTGACAAACCATTGAGGGAATTTATATTGCACATTTTGATTAAAATAAATTAACAAAGAGTGTTTATTTTCTTTATTTTGCATAAAGAATACATTGGTCCAGGCTAATTCATAATCCCAATAGTT